TTCTCGCCTCGAGCGGGGAACCCCACTAATCCCTTTTCAGTACTCTCTGTTCTAGTGGTATTTCAAACCAAAAGAAAACACAGATACCTTTTAAGGACCCGGGACATTAAGGCAACAGCCTCGAACCCGTGAATCACTTCAAGACTCACTTCAAGACAACTGACCTGACCTGACCTTGCGCGGATTTGGCGGTGGTTCAATTTTCCTCGCGCTTTGTCAAATTATGGATCCCCCTAAAGTTCAAGCGCCTCATTTAGTCATTCCCAGCCCTATTATTCACAGAAGAAACAGAACCAAATCCCAGTCAGAGAATGCGGCGAACGCGGAACACGGAAAGGGAAAAATTGTTTCATTTTGTCGTGAGAAAGGTCATGGCTTCATAAAGCCGGATGATGGTGAGGATTACCTGTTCGTGCATGTCTTCGAGTAAGTTATTCAGTTGTTTTGTGTTTAAAGCTCGTGAAGTATCGAAGGGGAATTGGTTCCCAACGAGGGAGACACGGTGGAATTTCGGAAGATGTTAATTCCACCGAAAAATGAAAAGTTCCAAGCGGTCCACGTGAAAATTGTTAACTTTGGCCCGGGAAAGCATAAGACGTGGGATGAACCTGCTGATGGTCATTGAAGTTGCTTCATCGATTCGATAAACACCGGTCCCGTTTCTCATAACTACAACGATACACCGCAATCATGAGATCCTGTGTGTCTGTTGATGCTGGTGTGCTGCTCTTGTGTTTGCGTGTGACTTATGTAAATATAATGGCTTTTTTATCATTCATTCTTTAGTGGATGTTTTGTCCGGGGATTTTATAAATCGGCTGATTCTTAAATGAGTGTTCATTTCGGCCACTCGGGTTTCCGAGGTCATCGAATTCGAAAACTTCGGATGGATTTTCGGGTGTGTAGCATATTGCGGGCTTGATTCAGTTTCAAACGAAAATCCTTCGTGTTTACAGCAAACGAAGCATCTGAAGGTTTCCCTGTTGTGCACTACCTTAACTCCGATACCCCCCTGGTCATTCAGCACACAGAGACGATAAAGGACCTAGGGGTGCTTATGCACCAGTCCTTCAAGCCGTCACCACAATGTGCTGAGGCTGCTTGGAAGGTTCGAAGGAGATTGGAGACATCAACAATCTTGAACGGATACAGAGGAGATTCACGAAATTTCTCCCGGGTCTCCAAGGGTTGATGTACACCCAGGGGCTGGAGAGGTCAGGACTTTTCTCTCCCAAAAGGAGCGATCAGTGAAGCTCGCTTCTCTGTATCTCGCTGTACGATGATGATGATGATGATCTTATAGAGACCTTCTAGCTCCTGAATAGAATCACCCGCGCGGGAGCCCCTCTACTCAGCATAGATAACCCTTCCGTCAGGAGCAACGAATTGGAACTGAACAAACACAGAACTCTGAAGAGCATAAGAGCGAACTTCTTTTCAAGTGAGGTGGTAAACCCATGGAACAGACTGCCAGCGAAGGTAGTCTCAGTCCAGACTGTAGTGCAGTTCAAGGCCAGACTGGACAAGAGCTGGACTGTCACGTTCCTCGACCTTATCTGATTCTGAGACCTTCTTTCCTTCCTTCATCCTTCTCTTATTTCTAGAGGCTTCCTCACCTCCCTCATTATCATTACTATTATCCGTGTTATTATCGTAACACTACTTCACCATTAGTCTTCCGCTTCGCCTTTTTTACTCTGTTGTCAGTCGATATAAGGTGCTTGCCTAGCAATGCGTAACAGTGCTAGATGTAGGCAAGTTATCCGTTACTAGTCGTGAGTCGACTGCTTATTCCAGAAGTGACCCCGATATTGTACTCTGCAATCCGTGGACCAGAAAACCACCCTTGGTGAACTAAATACTGGAATACCGGAAGGTTGAAGCACGGGGAACATTCACCCCCACTCGAGCAAGAAACTGGACTTTCATTTGCTCAAGCCCCAAGTCCTAAAACCTGATCTGATCTGAGCTAGGAATCACTGTACAGCTGTTACGAACATTACTCTCATGTAACAACTAATCAAAATTTTAAAGTATCCAACCGCGAAATAACCCCAGAGGCTAGTGCTGAGATGAATGAGGCGCGATTGCCGCAAAAGCTGGCCAACATGGGTTGTGCTATATCATGTAAGTGAAAAATGAAAGTTCTGATCTGCTATCCGATGCCCGAGTTGGTAGCATGCATTCATGCATTCTGCCTGTGAGGTCCCGGTTTCGATCCCCAGTTGCTTCAACGGATTCGCAATGCTGATGAGACCCAACCAGGTCTAAACAGCTGTAGAGTGCTTCCTAGCTTTTCAGTTCACGCCTCATTCGCTGTATATATATCTTTATATGTATATATATGTATATTATTACTACACTGTTGTGTGATGAACAGAAGACGGGGTAAACCCCATAGTCACGAGTACCTGCTGCTCAGTGATGGAAACCGATAACCTAAGCCCCGGGATTTGGAGTGGTGAACCACATAAGGCCCCGATTGATTAAGCGTGATATTGAACCGGACGACAGCCTAACTGCCTACCACCAAAGTTGGTGGTGGCGGGGCTCGAACCTCGGACAACAGGGTCCAAAGCACGCCAGTGACAGCTACTAAACCACTGCGCCACAACCATCCTGCTCACTTGATAGAGACTAGACATCGTTTAGCAAAACAAGACAGCAACTAAAACCGACGCACGTAGGTGCTTGGTTTAATAGCTGTAAAAACAACTGAAATGGAATGTCCGAGTTGAAAAACTAATAGTGGCGGGACAACTATCATCCGTTTATTACCAACAGAATTGTGCACATCACCGTATAGCGAAATACAACGGAGCAAACTTCACTGATCACTTCCGAAGTCTGAATGTTCACATTTTTTTCCTTCATTGAATGCGTAATGATGCGATTTCCAGGAAGGTGGAGATTATGTAAGGTGGACAAAAATTAGATCTGTTTCGAGGGAAGGGGTGCAGAAAACGTGAACCTCTATAGTCAACACAGTGCGTACCTTTTCAGGCATTCTGACCTGATGAAAAATGACAGCAAGAGCACAACTGCTGTCTGTTTGCCGCCATATCATTCAATGTCCCCAACAAACCGTTCGCAGTTTTCCGGACATCAACCAGGTAGGTCTGAGACACATACACTACCTAATTGCTCATTCCTCGTCTCCACGTTATCTGTTGACTTCCATGGGGTTTCCGCCCGCCTGGAGCCGCAACTGCGGATAAAGCGCGATGAGGCAGATAATAGGTAGGCATGCGCAATACATTTCTTTACCAGCGAAGACTAATCATCTGAATTCTATACGAAAACAAAGTTTCCACCGAATCATTACTAAATACGCGACGACTTAACTCAGAGTTATTTATACGCTCGCTCCATTCAACCAACGCCAAACTACGTAAACATCGGCAATCGGATACTTTTAGATATGTCTTCCACGGGAAAATTAAGGGTCTCGCAACCGTAAAGCAGAACACTAGCGCTGTATACGCGGAGTACAACGTCTGCAGCAAAGGTGTTCTGCGTAAGTGTGTTGAACAGAAGACGGCGCGAACCCCATAGGAGGACCTACTGTTCAGTGATGGTAACCTGCCACCTAAGCCCCAGGACTTGAAGTGATTAACCACATAAGACCCCGATAGGTTAGCTGTTCTAGCCTTTGAAATGTGGCAGGTTACTCCCTTGGATACGCTACCGTTATCTATCACCCGACTAAGTAGGACAAACAACCCACTATAACTAATTCTTAATTCAAGCATCAAATGACACCCAATCTTGTAGCATCACCTTGCACTTTGAAAGTGCAAAGCCCATATCAAATGGATTTACGAAACTTGAAATTCTGTCAAGAGCGATTCGCGCACCCTGTATACATTCGAACAAACAAACAATCTAGTCAGCGTGCCCTAAATCGCACGGCTTTTCTTCAGCTGCCCAGGCAATACCAATATTCTGGAGACCACTTGGTACGTTCTTCAGTATTTCGTCTACTTCGAAGTTGAATACATAACATTGCTCGATTCTGGTGGGGAACCGGACGAGCAATACTGAGGTTAGGCGTAGAGTTTTGGATAAACGAGGTCGTCCACTGGAGCAAGTGGTTGACCACCGATTACGCTCGTTGGGACAGCGATGTTTACCGAGGTAGGTAGCGGTTGGAAAAAGATCAGGGGCGGTCAAACTAAGACCTGGCATGAGGGTATGAAAACCCTGACCAAAAGACTGGCTCACATAGGTCCCGTTAGGCTCCCTGGCTGGGGACCCAGAGGTCATGGTCACCGATGGTTAGACATTGAGCAATATAATTAAGTGTCGCAGACAGTGGCGTTCATGTATCTACTCGTTATTTTTGTAACTTCAGTCTATAAATTGGCTACCTTCCTCTTGAATCTTCTGTTTTATCCGAATGGGCGATCAAAAGATGGCAACCACAACCGGCGCACGAAAGCGCATGGTTGTAAGAACTGAACTGAGCTGAATACAAATGGCGAAATGGGGCACGTTCGACGAAAATCCACTCCTGGTTTCGAGCGTTTCGCTTAGCCCACCGTACACCCTGACGCTACTCGAAGTATGCAGGTACAGTGATCGCAATAGGTTTACATCTGTGGCATTCTCTTGCGAAGCGGTACACCCATTAAGGATTCACGGTCAACTGATTCAAAGGCTCTTTTCAAGTCAAGGAACACTGCGATTGTTCGTCGACGGTGGTTGTTGTGCAGTTTGAGGACTGGACGCAGAGTGAAGTTTTGGTCGATGCGACGGTGGAATCCTGCTTGCTGTTCCCAAATATTCATCTCTTACGGCTGTCAGATGGTGAGGTATAATAAGCTAATACTTTGGCGATCGAACTAAAATAATACCGCGGTGCTTTACACAGCCGTTGCCTGCTCCGCTTGATGAATATCGGAACGATCAATGATTCATTCCAGGATAAAGCGATATGCTCCTCCCACAAGATGCTGCGAAGTAAGCTAGTAATCGAGTCGCCAGGAGAGTCACCGCCCAGCTTGAAAATAATTGGGGGAGGCCCATCAGGTCCCACAGCCTTCCCTTTCTTTAATGATTGAATACAGTTTCGTACTTCCAATTCTCCCTTCGTCGGTGTGGGCTATCGCGAAGTATGCCGTCCCTAAAGTCTTGGGTACCCATTTGGAAAACTATCCTTCCCTTCTGTCTAGTTCTTCTCAACCCCGATCAATCCCAGATGCCTCCTGTTTACACCACCCATCGAATATCACTCGGCGTTTTACCATGAAGGTCAGAGATTCAGAAGCTATAGGATTTTTAAAGCCAAAATCCCCTTTTCACTTGGCCGCATTAAATGCCCGCACGCTCTATCCGATTGGCCAACATGCTGCCCTGGTTAAAACTCTCGAAACTTTCAGTGTGGATGTATGGTGTGTCTCCGAAACATGCATACAAGACCCTACTTTCATTATTTCTCTGCGTTTTCCTGATCTAACCTCAACCTCACGCTTCACCCTCCGTGTGTCAGGCAATTCGGCATCCGAAGCTCGCGGTGTTGCTGGTGTCGCTAAGTGCCAAGGCTAGGCGCTCTCTTCTTGACT